GCGTAGGGGTCCACGTGGACCGTGGCTCCTGGTCAGCGTAGGGGTCCACGTGGACCGTGGCTCCTGGTCAGCGTAGGGGTCCACGTGGACCGTGGTTCCTGACTTAAAATGGGGCTCTCTACCAGCACTTTGTCATAAACCAATTCTGACATAGTTGAATGCCTTTTTTGTTTTTGAAGCTTTTCATGATTGTTGCCTTTCAGTATCTTTATAAATTTGATTTTCATTTGTCTTTGTTCAGTTGAGAGCTTTGTATATAAATTTACCGATACAATGACACCAGCAAAGTATACACTGCAACGTTGTATGCAGCATATCGTACTAATGAGACGGTGCACAAGACCAACCCAAATCAGATGGCTGTTAGTACAGTTCACGGTAGCTGGGGTCTGTCGTGGGTCGGGGACGCCCTGGATTCAGCGTGGGGTCGCCGGTCGCTGTTGAGTTGGACTCTGGTTGAATGGAGGCTCCACGGGGCTGTGACTTCAGCCCGTCGGTTGAACTCCTGGCTCGCCGGTGACGAAGGGTCGCCGTGGACTTGAGGGTGGGCGTCTCGGCGGGAAGTCACCAGCGGGTGTCCGTGGCGCCCCGTTAACTGGCTCCCGTGCTCTGTGCCGTCTGCTTCCCAAGGTTTCCTTCGACTCCACCAAGCACCTGAGCGACGCGTCCATCAGGAAGCGGCAGCTCGAGAGGCAGAAGCTGCAGGAACTGGAGCAGCAGCGGGAGGAGCAGAAGCGCCGGGAGAAGGCGGCCGAGGAGAAGCAGCGGGCCGAGGAGAGGTGCCTGCGGGGCGGCCGGCCGGGGCGGCGGCGGGGGCATCGCGGGGCCTGGGCCGGGCCTGGGCTCAGGGAAACGGGGCGGGGGTGTGCACGCGTGGGCTCGCGAGCACGTGTGGTGTGCATGCGTGAGTGTGTTCATGGGAATGTGTGTGCCCATGAGTACATGTGTGCACATGAGCGTGTGCTCACGGCATCGGGGGCTGTGGACACGGGTGTATGAGCATGTGGGGGCACGTGTGTGCTCGTGAGCACATGTAGTATGTATGCATGAGTGTGTTCATGGGAGTGTGTGTGCACGAGTACATGTGTGCTTGTGAGTGTGTGCTCATGGCATCGGGGGCTGTGGACATGGGTATATGAGTGTGTGGGGGCATGCGTGTGCTCGCGAGCACATGTGGTGTGCATGCATGAGTGTGTTCATGGGAATGTGTGTGCACATGAGTACATGTGTGCTCGTGAGCATGTGCTCACGGCATTGGGGGCTGTGGACATGGGTGTATGAGTGTGGGGGCATGTGTGTGTTCGTGAGCACATGTAGTGTGCATGTATGAGTGTTCATGGGAATGTGTGTGCACACGAGTACATGTGTGCTTGTGAGTGTGTGCTCACGGCATTGGGGGCCGTGGACATGGGTGTATGAGTGTGTGGGGGCACGCGTGTGCTCATGGACATGTGTGTGTGGAGTGTACCCATGTGGGTGTGTCCCCTGGAAACGTGTGTGTGCGCCTGTGGGGGTGTGTTCCTGGGCACGAGTGTGGTATCCATGCATGGGTATGTGCACGTGGGTACACGTATGCCCATGAATGCGTGTGGTGCGTACCCCCAGGTGTGTGCTCATGGGCATATGTGTGGCATGTGTGAACATGGGTGTGTGCATATGGGTATGTGTGTGCTCCTGAACATGTGTGAGGTGTGAAGTGTGTTTGCACTTAAGTGTGTGCCCAGGGGCATGTGTGAGGTGTGTGTCAGCATGAGTTTGTGCACATGGGCCCATGTGTGCTGAGTGTGTGCACACATGTGTGTGCTCATGGACATGTGGGGTGTGTGAATGTCAGTATATGCAGATGGGCACATGTGTTCAGGAGTGAATGTGGTGTGTTTACATGGGTGTATGAATATGTGTGTGGGCACATGTGTGTGCTTATGGGCATGTGTGTGTGGGTATGCACACATGGCTGCTTGTGACCCAGCGGAACATGGGGGGCTTCTCCTTTCTCCCACCCTGGCTGTGACGGCACCTCTGCCGGGGGCTTCCGGGGCCCCCTTTCCGTGCAGGCCCCCTTCCTGCCAAGCAGTTCCCATGTTTGCACACCGGGAGGATGGCTCTGTCTCGGCCAGTGGGCCATTTTGCGTTCAGTTTGAAGCAACGTGAACAAAATGAAGTAGAGAATCGAAGAAACTGCCCAGATTAAAAAAAAAATCCGCCCCCCAAACAGCCTGCTCTCGTTGGGGCCCGTGGAGCCCTTGCTCAGTGCTCGCTGGGGGTCAGGTTTTCAAGGACGAGCCCGGGTGCGACTGTCCCCCCTCCTACCTTTCGTTGTGAGCGTGATGAAAGCAGTTCCTGCCGTGGGTGCCCACGTGGCCGAGTCCTGCTGCCCGAGGCTTTCCCGGGCTGTCATCTTGGAGCAGGTTGCCACAACTTTCTCCCGTGGTGCCATCGGTAGGGTGAGACCGCCAGCCTGTTGGGCGCGGTTGACGGCTTTCGCCGCCGGGCCGCTCGGGCTCCTCCTGTCGAGGGCACTTTAGCCGACCGTGTTGCGTACGTTTTGGGAAACGAGACGCTTTCCCTCTCAAGCGCGTGCTGTGTTTCCCGCGCGTACCCGTGCGTCCGGTCGACTCTCTGAGCGGAAGGGAGCGTGGGCTGTTCTCTGGGCTGCGGCGCCGCCTTCCAGTCCCCGGTCGGACCCTGCTTCTCCGTTTACCCTCCTGCTGCGTGGCCTTTGTTCTGCTCTCCACCGCCCAGCCGCTAAACCCCTGGGACGCGGGTGCGTGTGCGCATTTTGCATTTTTGGTCTTGGCGCGAGCTCTCCGACTTGAATCCCTGGGTAGTGAGTCCAAGCCGTTTGTGTGGTTCTTGATGTGACCGTCACATGGAGCCGGAAGTCGAGGCCGGTGTTCAGCGGGAGACTCCTCAGCTGCCGTGCGGGAGAGCCGGGTTCGACTCCCGGCGGGTTCTCTTCACGCACGTCTCCCGTCTGTCCGTGGAGCCTTGCGCGTTGCTGGGATGCTGCCCAGGTGTCAGCCGGGCTTCCAGACGGAGACTAGGAAAGAAGGGCTGGCTGTCGACCCCCAGATCACAGCTGCCGAAAGCCCTGTGGGCAGCAGGGGTCAGATCTGCGACCGACAGGGCTGGCGCGGGGCCGGGCAGCGTGGGCTCCGTTGGGGGGGGCGGCACTGGGTCGGGCTGGCTTGAAGGCAGCTGACGACAGGGTGCCGTGTTGCTGTCCCGGAGGGGCGAGGCCGTCAGCCCGGGGCTGCACTGCGCGTGGACCCGAGGCTGGGGTCGGCCCCGGGCAGCCGTCAGAGGCCGTGGGAGCCAGGCGTGCTGTGTAGTGAGGGCGTCTGTATGGCCGCCCCAGACAACAGCGCCTTGTGGGGAACAGGGTGAGTGGGTCCTATATGTAACCGTAGTTTGTGGTCTGAGGAGTCCTGGTGGTGCAGACGGTTAGCCAAACGTCGGCCGTTTGAGTTCACCCCAGGTGCCACAGAAGGACGGCCTGGCAACCTGGCACAGCCACCCCACCCAGGAAGCCCGACGGCAGGGCGTCCCTGAGGCAGGCACGGCTGGATGGCACCTGGCAGCAGCGGGGATGCCGCTGACCGGCGTCGATGGCCGGCGCCCACTGTCTGCGGGGACGCGGACCGGGGGCGGCAGTCACGTGCGTTCCCTGAAGGGCTGCCCGATGCCCGGGCCCGGGCGCCGTCTCTCCACGAGGCCCCCTGGTCGTACAGAGCTGTGGCCGCGGGAAGGCGGGCTGCCGGCGCTGCGGCTCTGCTCCCGGTGGGGGTGGGTCCCGGGGAAGCGGCTGCGGTGCGCACCGGGTCCTACACGCCCCGACCCTGGGATCCTAGCGCCCTCCTGGGTTCCCGAGCACGGCTGCAGCGCCGGGCCTCCGCTCCGGGTCGGCGTGCCAGGGGTGCCGGGGAGCCCTGGGCCCTGCCGGGTGGGCTGTTCCGTCTCCTGAGTGACCGCGTGGAGCGCGCCGTGTGGGTGGGGCTGGGACCGAGCGCCCAGGCTTCCTCCTCCTTCTGTGAACGTTTCCGGGGCTTTGGGCGGGAGCTTACGGAGCAGGTGCGTTTCCCTTCAGCAGTTGGTACCCGTCGCGTTTCGTGAGGCCAGTGCAGCCCCGTGGACGGCTCTCGCCCCGCCCCCCGTGGTCCCCGTCTCTGCTCGGCCTTCCTTGCTGTCCACCCCCGTTCCGAGTGCTCTCCCGGGGCCACTGCAGCCCCTGGTTCGGTGGGGCCGGCTGTTGAAGGAGGGTGGGCCCGGGCGCCCCGTCCTCGCACGTCCCTTGTTGCGCTGAGACTTGGCCCACAGGGCAGAGTTCCCTTCCAGCCTGAAGGTGACTGCCGTGGTCTCGGGGTTCCGGCGGTGTCTGGACGAGAAGGCAGCCTGGTCTTTGCATGGCTTTGCCTGTTCTCCACGTGGTCCCCACCCTGGCCGGGACCCCTGTGTGATCCCTTGCGGAGCGCTCGGCAGGGGCAGCCGGGGCCACCCGGTCTCCTGGTGGTGGTCTCAGGAGCTCCGTGCGTTTCTGTGAGTCTGATTTTCTGGTCTCCTCTCCGCATCAGGTGGCAGGGATGATAGTTGAGCCTTAGGCGGCTGGTGGCCAGGTTTTTAAGCCCTGGTCACTGCTCACCGGAGTAGGGTGGGGAACTCTGTCTGCGTGGACTGTGTGGTGCTGGGTGACCGTGCTGTCCTCGGATCCCCAGGGCTTTCTCTGGCTGTTGCCAGGCCTCCCACAGACCCACCGGATGAGCCTGACCTCCGCCCTCGGCATCGGCCGCTGGACAGGTTCCCCGTCCACACCCCCTGGCGCTCCTGACGGGGTTGCCGTGGCGTTGACCCCAGTCCCGGCGCCCCCGTGAGAGCCAGCAGCACCGCCCTCCTCGGGTTCTCGGGCTGGTTTCCGGAAGCGCGTTGCCGGGCCTCTGCCCTGCGGCCCTCGGCGGGAACGGAGTCCCCGGCCTTTCAGTGAACAGCCGACCTGTCAGTGCCTGCTCCTGCCAGGAGCCCACGGCCCGGCGCCGCCGCCCTGGGCCTCACCTGGCTCCCTGTGGTTAGCAGGCGTGGTGCGTGGGCCCCGCCGCGCCACTGACCTGTCCGCCTGTGTCCGAGTGCACGGCCGCTGTGTCGTGGACACACAGGAGTGCCTGTCCGGGGCCGGCCACACGTGCACCCCTGGCGCTTAGCTGGCCCCATGCACGTCTGAGGCTCTGGTGGTCTGCACGGCTCCGTGCCGGGGCCTCGCTGGTGTCCAGGGAGAGTTTCGCTTGGCGACTGTGATCTTGGCTGCAGCCTGCTGCCCCCTCTCCTCTTGGCGCCCTGCGGGTCTGGCCTGGCCACTGTCAGCCTCGAGTCTGAGGGTGGCTGCCCAGGGGTTGGTGTCTGAGTTCGGGCCTGGCATCTGCACCTGAGACGTCACGGAGGCCCCCCAGACGTCACAGGGGCCCCCCAGACGTCACGGAGGCTGTGGGGCTTCTTCATGGAGCCGGTTGGTGTTCTGAGGGGTCTTAAAGCCAGAGGACGGATGAGGGTGGACGTGCCTGGGCCTGCCCTGGGGGCCGCGTCCCTCCTGCCTGTACTTGCTCCTCGTTTCGGACACATCCCTCCGCTGCCCGCAGGAGAATCCTGTTAGGTTCTGGGGGCTTGAGGGTGGGGTGGGTTTGCTTTACAGCAGGGTTGGCAGATGGTCCCCACAACACGCTGGGATTCCCACGGGGTCGCGCTTGCTGTCGGCGGCCTCGTCCCAGGCGCCGGAGTGGAGCGCGGGCGGCGGGCCCTGGAGTCGCGGCCGGCCTCCTGGGGCTTTGTGCCGTCCCGGTGGCCTCAGGCCCGTGACACGCCTGGGCACCCTCTTTGTCGGGGGGCCGCTGGGTGGGAGCCACGGCGGGTCTCTGAGGCCTGGCTCCTGGGGCCGTGTCTCTGCTCCGGGCCGGGGTCGTCGGTGCCAGGTGCTGCCTTCGGGCAGGTAGCGAGGCCCTGCCCTGTTGTGGCTTCCGTGAGGGTCCCCGTTTCTCGAGGCCTCGCACGATGTTCTCGCGGGAAGGTGGCTGCAGGGCTGGATGAATCGCAGCAGGGCACGCAGGGTCAGCGTCACCGCCGCCATGGAGATCCAGGAGGGTCCCCTTCCTGAAAACGTTCCTCTGGGACAGGTGCTGGCAGCCCCCCGCCCGTGGCCCCAGGCAGTGCCTGTCACTCCCCATCACGGGTTTCCCTTTTCAAATTCCTTAGAGAAGGAATTGCACGGTGCATGGTCTCTGCTTTGGCCAGCTTTCACTCCGTGTGGTGTTTCTGGAAGCTTCCACATGGTTGTGTCTGTCTGTGTTCGTTCCTTCTTAGTGCCCGTGGTGCCCGTGGTGTGGTATAAACCGTTCGTCTCCTACAGGTGGGTGGCTGGCTGCCAGTGAGTTGGCTCAGACTCACGGGGACCCCGCGTGCCCCCAGGGAAACGCCACCCGCTACACGCCCTCCTCCCAAACGCTGCTTGGCCCGCGTCCGTGGTGCAGCCCCTGTGTGCGCTGGGGACCTTGTAGGCCTGGGGACCCCGCTCCTGGCGCTGTGTCGGACAGTGTTCTGTTGGGACCCACAGGGTCTTAGGGCTGATTTCCAGAAGTGGCTGGCGGGCCTTGCGCCTGGTCTGAGCCTGGGAGCTCTGCCGACGCCTGCCCACCGAGGGGCCCTGCTGGTGTCTGTCACGCTGGGGGCCCAGCCTCCAGCCGCCCGGCCACACGCAGCCCCCACCCTGCGACACAGTGAACGACGGATGGGCCTCCCCGGGGGCACATCTTAGCCCACGGTGTTCACGGACCCCCCACTTTGAGCTGGAACCGTCCAGCGCTCACTGCTTCTGTGACCGGCCTCACCCGCTGGCGGGAGGCGCAGCATCTGGTCGAGATTTTACTGGCCGGTCAGCTGTGGGGACAGTGCAGGTGACTGACGGGTCGGCCTGCCCGGGGCCACATCTCAGCACACACGGGGTTCACAAAGCCCCCACTTGCAGCTTAAACCACCTCGCGGCTCCGCTCGCTGGGTCCGGTCTCTGGGGCCGCCGCGCTGCCGTCAGGCGCGGCGTCTGGTCGAGTGTGTGTTCGCCGGTCAGCTGCGCGGTCGGTGCAGGCCTGCCGCGTGTCCCTCTCCGGCTCGTGGGGTCACCCTGAGTCAGAACCGGCCCCGTGGCCCCGAACGCCAGCAACAAGGGCCACGTTTTTCCTCTGAAGGGTGCTTCATCCTTCTCGGGGTTGTCTTTTCCTTCGTGGACAGTCGTGTCCTGTGTTGGTGCCGCCATTTTAGATTCCAGACCCTTACTCACCCCGTATGGTGGGTAGCACGTGTGATTCTCAACCAGACGTCCGATGTCGTGAGACACATCAGCCCTTCCCTTCCTGGTTTGTGGTTTGGGGTCACGTGTCACGGGCACCGTGGGAAGCTGATGGAGCTGCGTGTGTGCGTCTCCCCTCCCTGGGCTCTTCCGTGAATCGGGGCTTATTTTGGGGTGAGGAGTTACGGGGCTCATTCGGACGTCGCTGTTGTTAGGTGCCGGCTCACGGTGGGCCCCTGTCCTGGAGAGAAATACGAGCCGTGAGACCGCTGTACACACGTGTGTCACCCATGTGTGTGCACATGGTGTCTGCCTGAGTATCCGTGCCGTTGCCATGTGCATGTAGAACCGTATCAGCTGTATGAGGAGGAGCCAGCACCAAACGCCCGCCGTAGACTCAGTTCTGACTCGCCGTGCCCCTGCCGGGGTCTGAGCGGTGAGCCCTTATGGCACCAGCTGCCCGTCTTCCTTCCGGGGCCCAGCTGGGGGGTTTGAACTGCCCTCCTGGTGAGCAGTCAGATGCCTCAGGCACGTGCCACCAGGCTCCTCGTGTGTGTGTGTAGGTGTTCCTTATCTGTGTGTGCGTCACGTCCGTGTGCGGTCCATCGGTACCCATGTCGTACCTCGGTGTCCTCATTTCCTACCTTGCAGACCATCTCCATCCCTACCAAGTCTGTTCATGCCCCTGTCACGTGTACGTCCCTGTCCTCTGCGCATCCCGACCCTCTCGGTGTCTGTGCGTGTCCCTGTCATATGTACATCCCTGTCCTCTGTGCATCCCGACCCTCTCGGTGTCCGTGCGTGTCCCTGTCGTGTGTACGTCCCTGTCCTCTGCGCATCCCAACCCTCTCGGTGTCCGTGCGTGTCCCTGTCGTGTGTACGTCCCTGTCCCCTGCACATCCCGACCCTCTCGGTGTCCGTCCGTGCCCATCGTGTGTACGTCCCTGTCCTCTGCGCATCCCGACCCCCTCTCCATCCATGTCTGTCTCGTCCATGCCTGTATCCACACCATCTGTTAGTACAGCATCCCTCCCGTATCAGCCTGTGCCCATGTCTGTATCCACGTTGTCTCCGTCTGCACCTCTACCAGCTCCTCATGTACCCACACGGTCAGGTTCCAAGACCAGGTTGTTACATAAAAGCTGATGTTGCGTGGGCGCAGAGGTGGGCCGCATCATCACACAGCGCCCCGGGCACTCCTGATGGAACGCCGGCTTACCTCACTGCCATTACTCCCAGCGGCCAGCCCACTGCGAGCCACGGCCCAGCACGTTGACACGGAACCTTGACCATCACAGCTCTGTTACTCGGCATTCCTCCCTGTGTTTGTTCCTGCTGGACGCACGTTGTTAATGTGTGAAATCATCCGACACTATATTCTTCACTGTGGTAATCACTGCTCAATGTCGGACAACCAGATGGGCCTTGAGGGAGGGGCAGGCGTGTCCCCATGTCATCTCTGTCCACATCCATGTCATCAGCCTGTGTTTGTCATGTTTCTATTCATGTTCCTGTCTATGTCCATGTCACATATGTCTATGTGCATGTCATCGACCTGTTTATGTCATCCTGTCCACAGCCACATCCGTGTTCACGTGTCATCTGTACCATGTGTATCCATGTTGATACCTGTGGTCCCTAGATCTATCTGTATTGTCTGTGTGTATCCATGTTGACATCTGTGTTCCCTGTTTCTATCCATGTCGTCTGCGTGTCCATCTGTACCCTGTACCGTCTGTGTCCATGTTGACGCCTGTGTTCCCTGCATCTATCCGTGTCCTGTACATGTCCATGTGCACACCTGTACTGTGTGTATCCGTGTTGACGTCTGTGTTCCCTGGATCTATCCGTGTTGTCTGCGTGTCCGTGTGTATGTCTGTGTACCTGCGCCATCCGTGTCCGTAACTCCTCTCCACAGGTGTGTCTGTGGCTGCCCACAGTTCTCCCTATACCCACTCATCTGGGTCACGTCTGTCACCTGCATCTTTCATGGGCATCTGCGTGTGTTTCTGCATCTGCGTCATGCATTCATAGCTACATCTGTGTCTGTGAGAGAAAAAGAAACCCACTGCTGTAGTGTCGAGTCTGACTCATAGCGGCCCCAGTTGGCTTTCCCAGGCAGTGAATCTTTACGGAAGTAGACTGCCCAGTCTTCCTTCTGCAGAGTGGCTGGTGGGTGTGAACCGCCAACCTTCTGGGCAGCAGTGACATGCCTTAGGCCCCACGCCACCAGAGCTCCTATCTGCGCCTGTAGCTTCATTCATATCTGTCCTCTGTCTCTGCGTCCACATGTGGACAGTTGGTGCCTGTCTTACCTGTTCACAGACACACATACACATACATGCACCAAACCAAACTCACTGCCATCAGTTGATTCTGAGTCTTGACAGCCCCTGTTGGGTTTCCCAGGCTGTCAGTCATCTTCCTTCCTCAGAAGAGCTGGTGGATTCGAACCACCAACCTTATGGTTAGCAGCCAAATGCCTTACCCACTACACACCAGCACTCCTTATGTATATGCACATATGTCTTTGTCTACAGAGGGAACTTGACCTTAAGGACTTGACTCATGGGACGGAGGGAGCTGGTGCGTGTGGCACCCAGAGGGTGGGTGATGGGACATGGCCGGGAGCCCCGGTGCCTGTGCGGTCCGCAGGGAGAGCACATCCCAGAGGGGGTCCCGCTTTGCTCTTAGGGCCTCCGCCTGATTGTGTCAGGCCCACCCACGTGGTGTGAGAGGACCTGCTTTGCTGGAGGCCGGTGCTTTCATCCCATTGGCTCATTCACAGGGGCAGGTAGCCACGTGTCAGGCCACACCCCTGGGCTTCGCAGCCCCGCCGGGTGGACCCGTGGCC